ACCCACGTCTACGCCACTCTTGTGGCCATCTGTAACACGAAGGTATGTCCGCAGAGACTGGTCTCCCAGTGAGAGACTACTGTCCGGTCGAGTCGTTTGTCTTACGTTTTGCTTTCTTATCACTCATTAGTTCCCAAAAGTGGGAGAATTAATACTAAAGCGACTCATCATTCAGTTCCGCAAAAGTTACCGAAGAAATGACAAACAGGTGTGCATTACGTCCACCAGATTTATCGCACATCTCGTCAATCAACAAGTGGTAAGTCATGCCCTCCTCTCATGTCTTTGCCGTTGCTTTGATTAACGCTTCCATTGCCCATACGATAGGCTCACGAAGTCGTGTCCTTAGAGATACTGACACTTCTGTTGGAGAACGCGACCAACGATTCCGTGGAGGTGTCCATCGCTTTCCTCAAAGAGTGCGGCTCTAAGTTAGACGAACTCTCCCGACGCGGCTTCTCCGGTAAGTTATCACCACTTGCTGTCTGCCGAAGACTTAACCATTAATGAGTCACTAATTTGTGTTGATTTGTTTGATCGCAAACTATAGCCATATTCGAGAGGTTGCGGAATATCCTACACGAGGGACAGTTGGATAAGAGGGTGCAGTATATGATTGAAGTGATGTTCGCCATCAGGAAAGACAAGTTCAAAGACCACCCGTCAGTGATTCCAGAGCTGGACCTGATTGAGGAGTCGGAGCAGTTCACGCATTTGATTACATTAGACGAACCGGCGGACAACGAAGACAAACTCAATGTCTTTCAGTTCGACCAGAACTTCGAGGAAAACGAAGAGAAATACAAAGCCATCAGAAAAGAGATTTTAGACGACGAGACCACTGATGACGACGACGACGACGACGGCGACGACGAGTCCGGTGAAGACTCGGACGATGAGGACGAGGAGGCGGCCGAAGCGACCGACTCGACCGCAATCATCGACAACACGGAGACCACGTTAAGAACGCTTCGGCGCGATATATACCTCACAATCCAATCCTCGCTGGACTTCGAGGAATGCGCGCATAAGCTGCTGAAACTGGAGCTAAAGCCCGGACAGGTCGTAGAGCTCTGCCATATGATCGTCGACTGCGCGGCCCAACAGCGGACTTATATGAAATTCTACGGACTGTTAGCCCAACGGTTCTGCCAATTGAACAACGATTACGCGGAACCGTTTCAGGAGATCTTCCACAGCTGTTACGACACGATCCATAGATTCGAGACAAACAAACTGCGAAATGTGGCCAAACTGTTCGCCCATTTGCTCATAACGGACGCCATTTCGTGGAACGTCTTGTCGCACATTAAGCTCAACGAAGAGGACACCACTTCCTCGAGTCGAGTGTTCATCAAAATCCTGTTCCAAGAGTTGAGTGAATCCATGGGTTTAGTCAAACTCAACGAACGCATCAAAGACACGACACTACAGGAGGCGTTCGACGGCCTCTTCCCGCGCGACGACCCCCGCAATACCAGGTTTGCCATCAACTTCTTCACGTCCATCGGTTTGGGAGGTCTGACCGACGACTTGAGAGACCATTTGAAGGCAATCCCGAAGACTGTAATGCCTTTCGCTTCAAACGAATTGAACAAAAAGCTAAAGAAGTCGAGTATTCATGAGTCGGACTCTTCGGAGTCTTCATCCGAGAGCGATGAGAGCGAGTCCTCGTCGTCGAGCAGCTCATCCGCCTCTCACTCATCGTCCACGTCATCCGAGTCCCCGAAGACATACAAACTCTCATCAAAACGTACTCATCGTTCGCGTCACTCGAAGACACACTCGAACTCTAAGAAATACCGACAACGAGATCACCACAAGAAAGACAAACACCACAAACGACAGGAAAAAGAGGCGAAGAGCTCGTCCCGAAAGAACGTCAAGGATCACAAGAAGTTGGAGAGATCCACGAGTTCGCGAAGACATCATAATAATCGATGACTGAATTTATTGGACATTAAAATCGATTAAATCTATAATTATTTTATTTGTAATCATTAGTTAATAATAAGCCTAATTATGTATTGAATTAATTAATTAAATGGATTTTATATTTGATTAAAAAAGTTCACATTTTTCCAATCAATTGTCTTAATTCATTGACTATCAGTAATGCCTACTCTAAGCACCGGTAGGTGAACCGGTCCACTGTAAGGCCAATCTCTTAACACATAGTTTTTGTCATTTAATAACATTTAAAGTATAAATTTAATGATCAAATGATTCAATAATAAAGTGTTTGAATATATGTTTCGATGATATGATGTCTATATTCCGGGTCTCGGATGAGCGGGTTTGGGAACAACTCTCTTCAGTGGTCTAAATGGAGTCAACAATGAAAACATGAGAATCGCGGCAATTGAATGGCGCCAACCATCACATACCGGTACTTCCACTTCCACTTAGGCGTGTAGGTCAGCATCTGGAGCTCCTCGAGGTCAGGACCCGACCCCTGATGGATATTCTGGCCCTCAATCCGGTGCTTAATCTTCAGAACCGATTCCTCTTCGTTCAGCACTCCCTCCGACTTTGGGATCGGCTGTTGATATCAAATCAAATCAATTTCTTAACAAACGTATGGCACATGTGTTCGCAGACAATACCCTCGAGTGCTCGTACGGGAAGTGTTTGTCCGCGTGAAGACAAACGATGGTCTGTCCGTCATTTGTGATCGTAATTCTGGTCACAAGTGATACACAAATCCATTATATGATCATTCATTCAAAGCATGCAATCATTGAATCAATACTTGGCTTCTTTGGTGGACACGTCAAACAGCATACGTCTTGAGGCGAGCCATGGATTCGTTGCCCGAAGACAAGACACAATCAGTGGTTTTGATTTGATTAGCATTTTGTCCACAATTTGATACCAAAAAAAACAATATTCAAAATACATGTGTATTGAGAGGGGAGGGGTTCGTAGGCAATGCTAGCGCTATATTATGTACATATATATCGTGACAAATACTATTATGTGGTTTATTATATTTTGTTTGCCATAATTACTAAGATTATTATTACTACTGTATTGTAGTAAAAAACCTAAGGGGCAATATTTAATGCGAAATGTGTAACGTTATATAATGTTCATAGTTATTTTATCGGTACAATATAGTACGTGAAATGAAACATCCAGGTAAAATTCAGTACCCTCGACTTTATGGACGTATAAAATTCAACTTTTTGATTAACTTACTAGGTGAAACCTTTATTTTCAAACTTATATACTCCACCCTCAAACGTTCAAACGGAACGTGTTAATACCACTAATAGGGCATACTATACTATGACATACGGGACACCTGTGCCACACACGGGGTTTAATTGTTTGATACAGTTTTGTTCAAATATTTCTATAATGACTCACAAGTGGTGAATAAGACTTGGGAGCAGACCTGTAGACTAACAGACAATTGAGTTGATCACCACTTTTAGCACCCGTTCCTCCTATGAAAGCTATATTTAAAGTATGACTGGTGAGGGTCACTCTACAACCTGGTAGTATAACCTGGGATATCTGAGGTGATGAATCCAATGAGTAATACTTTTGGTGACTCATAGCGTGTTATAGCCGTGAAGTTGGTTTCATTGGACACCAAAATCTGTGGTCTATTATAAGATATTGTAATTGTATTTCCACTCATACCGTATGAAAGTAATTGAAAGCAACTCTTGACAAATAAATTGAAATCATGACTTGCTTGCCATATACCAATTCAATTATATTCCTTTTAGAAGTGATCTAGATA